ATTATCAAAAGTCCGATCTGAAAATTTAATTAGCATCGATTAAAAAGAAAAACTTATTGCTTCCGTATATGTGAATGAGTGTAGAACATCTTGAACTCTTTGATATTTTCATTTATATAATTGAATAATTAATTTGTTTTTTTTTTACTACGAATGTGATGTGTTTTTATATGCTTGAACGACGCTCGGTCAGTAATAGAGAAAACTGAATGTTTTTTTTTTTATTTCTTTTTTAGTAACTGTTTCAGGCAAACTATTTATTATGTAATTGTATGCAGTTATTTTAATATTGTTGATTGTTTTTATGAAAAATGTAATAATTTATTTTTGTACTTACTGCTCATTCGCGCGTTGAATCCCTTATTGTCTTCCTGTTGCATAATAATCATCTGAAATTTTGTTAATTTTTTTCACGTCTTGATTGTTTCAATTATTCTTTATGTATTTTCAAAGTATGAGGATTGAGGTACAATTTCTCACATACACGCAATATCTATTTCCGTCTTCTCATTTCGTTGTCATTAATCATTGTTAATTAACACATGGAGCTCTCGTTTATTATTATACAAATTAATTTTTTTTATCATTATCTCTGCTATTAAATTCGTAGATTAAACTTAGAAAAAAATTTGGACATTAAAAGATTCTTAAGTTGTGAAATCAAACCTTAAGTTGTGAAATCAGAGACGGGAAAATTGTTAAGAAACACATAATGAATTTTTCTACAAATTACATCTATACAAATAACTTAATAATTTTTTAACGATGAAATCATTTTGGTTTATCAGATCGGACTTCAGTAAAAAAAGTGGTAAGAGATTAAAACATTACAATAGTAACAACTTTGAATTTTTATTAACTTATAGACAGAAAAATAAATCTACAATATATTTCTTCATATCCATCTTGTCAATTTTTGTTGATTTTCATTTATCATTGTTACGCAATACAATTATTTTTATATGTTTACTATTAAAAATTTCTTAAATTTTAAGTGATTTTTCATGGTAGATATATAAAAGTAATTTTAGTGTGTAACAATGATAATATTTTTAAACCTAATTTTGTTATTTTTCAATCCAACACGCTATCTTTTTCTTTTAACCAATTACTTGAACGACGAAAGAGTGGTGAAATAAGATAGAGTTACTTGCATCACCTTAAAAATTCAAACTGGCTAAGTATTTCCATTATACTGTAAATGTTGTAGAATCATTCTTACCGAAGCATAATTCTGCAACGACATCACGTACATATTGCCAGCCGTTAATGTACAAGGCACAAAACTCTTATGAAGTAATATACTCAATAGCTGTGTCGTTCTTCGCGATGTTTTGTACCACAGCATGTTGTATCTAAAAATAATTAATTCAATATATATAATATTTTATTTCTACAAATAAATTATTTTTTAATATCTATTCACTCTAAATTTCTTGCAGTGAAATCTCATTCCAAGAAAGTGAAAATACAATCATCCGTTACTTCTTGAAAAAGAGTAACAATTTTCACTCTTTTTAGAGTGAATTTTCACTTTAAAGGAGTGAAATGTCATTTTTTTGGAGATTTCACTGCAAGAAATCCTCCTTTAAAATGAAAATTATTGTCACTCTTTTTCAAGAAGTAAAATATTTTCACTTTTTTTCAAGGGTGTATTTTCATTCTCTTGGAAGAAAATTTCACTGTAAGAAATTTAGCGTTGAAATATAATATTTAAAATTTGAAGAGAACAAAAAACGGTAAAGATAAGAAATAAAATGTTATTAAAGAAAACTACAAAATATCAAGAAATAAACAGAGAACAAGTTTATTCTCTTTTGCTTCATAAAGAAGAAAGTTTTAGATATTTTTTCCCGAAAAATCTGTTTTTTTTGTTTTGCTACATTGCGTAAATAACTTTGGTACGATATATTTACGCTTTATGAAATATATCTGCGCTATGGTCCATTATTTTTTGGCCGGGGTAATTTAAAACGAAAAGATGTATGAAGCCACCTATTAATATTGATACGTATGTCATCATCTCTGCTTTTTCATTCATAAAAGTAATTATCTGGAAAATGGTTAAATGGATGAATCAAAGTCGTTGAACCAACTTTTTACCCTATGAAAAATTATTGACTTCATACCTAATTGAATTATAACGCGTGCAGTCAATTATTTTCTCATAAGGTAAAAATTTGGTTCTACGATTCTGATTCACCCTGTATATATGTATATATATTTTAAACGCTTCAACTTTAAAGTAGAATATCTCGATTTTTAATTTGAATATTGAGTTTTAAAGCACATATGATCAGGACACTAAAATAAACTTATTTTGTAAGTTTCAGAAAAATCTAAAGAAAATGGATTATTTCGGAGAACGTCTTTAATATCAATGTCTTATCATAATATCAAGCGCACTTACTTGAAATCCAATAAGACTCATACAGATCAAACTCATGATGATCATTATAAGCAAATATATTTTGAATACAGATTCCACTAAATCGACATATCTGAAAGATATACGAACAGATATATTGACGTAAAATACTTTGCAATATACGTGAAAATTTTAAAACTCACTCAAGGCTCAGTTGATGTTTCCATATGAGAAGTGCCATTTCGTGATAGATAATGTCATTATTCGATTCGCACTTATTGTAAGTTACCTTTATATCCTTAACGAAAGAACTTTTTTTTAAATTTATCGTCAAGGTCAGATTTTCTAGTCGATGCCTTTGAAATACGATCAAAATTTTATCTACGGTACACGAACTTAAGAGACAAAAAAATTTTTCTTTTATGTGTATTAACATAGACTTCAGGTAATTCTTGCTTTACTGTTTTAAATACTTAATCGTAACTCGGGTCCTAATCAAAATTTTTAGCAAATGATTAGTGGATAAGAAGAGTTAATTTTGTTCAAAAATCTACGATAGAAACATCTAAAAAAAAGTAAAAGAATTAGAAATAAAAATAAAAAAGTAAATGATCCTTTTTGACAAATCAACTAATAAATAATTTTATCAGAGTTGGGAATGTTACCGTTACTTTTTCGTTATTTTTCGGGAAATTGTTGAATTCGTTCCCTCCAGGGTTGGCAGTAATACGTTATTTGTAACGCCGTTACTTTGTTGATCGTTACCTTGTTATAATAACGATTTGATAATGACATTGTGAATTTTTTATAACGATAATAATAATATCAGAGTTAGAAGTGACTTTTCTAACCTTAGCACAACCTTAGAGTTTAGATAGCGTTACCGTCATAAAAAATTGCAACATCGTCATCAAATTGTTTACTATAAAAGTAACGACAAAGTAATTGAAAAGTAACGTTTGTCAACCCTGGCTCCCTCATATACGATATATGTTGATAAAATTAGATGCTCATTCGATGCGTTTTTGCACGAAAAACGACCGAATCTGGAAAAAAAATTATCAGGAGCTAAACTCAACACAATTATCAAATTTAAATTAAATATTATTTTTAAACTTTAATGTCACATTATTAAGAATGTATTTCAAGATTCACTTCCAGTACTGAAAATCCGTAGTATGTATGTGAATTATAGATTTTCAACACAGATAATAACTACCGAAATACAATCTAAGATATAAAATATATAAAACATTTTTTAAGAAATAAAAATGAGAAAATAAACATTTTATAATTATATTTATTATAAATAATATAATCTTTTATTATATATAATACATTGTTAAATTGTAAATATATATTTGTATACTTACACAAGCATTAAAAAAAATTTTAGGTATTTCGTTCATTTGTTATATCGACACAACTTGGATAATTAGAAGTACATTTCTAGGGATAAAAGCGAAATACCTTTTAGCGCCAGCAATATCGAAATATGATTCAAAATCTGACCCATATAATAAAAGTAGTTGAAGTAAATAAAGATAAAAGTAACGACTGAATCGAATACTACAAAAATATAACGACATTACCGTTAAAGACAAAAAAGTAACAATTGTTACCGTAAAAAATAATTCATGCAGATTCATGCAGAAGATTTTGCATAGTTTATCCCTAAATACAAATTACGATCTAAAAATTTTGATTAGCCGAATTGTAAAGAATTTAAATCAGGAAAGTGTGTAAGAGTCACCTGGACTTAATGAATTAAATTAAAACTTTTTAGAAAATAAATGCTATAAGTACAATACCCAATAGCTGCGAACAGACTGCATGCGTGCTGCGTGAGTGATATGTAACTTGTTTCGTTTATTATCATTGAGGCCACAGCCAATATACTCGCAATATATGAATGGAGTAATACAGGATAGTAATATATCTCTCTGTCGAAGCTATAGTCGACATCGAACAAATATATATAAGGGCGCGATGTATTGAGAGGCTTAAGGAAATTCAATATAGGCACTATTAGTGGAATCATCAAGTAAAGGCTCATCAACGAAAATATTGCAACTGCAACTCACATTATTACTATAATGTAAAAATTTATCAACGAATACGCAATCAAGCTGCATTACTTAAATTGAATGCAATGTGCAATTCACAATCACGCAAATAGTGAGAGCAATATACATATATTAAGAGTAATGAGTTGACGTTAAAAGTCAAAAGACACGTGATTCATTACCGGCATAACTTAACGACATTTTTCTTCCTAGGACAGCATACTCGTGCATAATTTTTACCTCCGAGAAATGCGTGAAAACGCGCCAGTGATAGTCGATCAGTGACAATAGGTGTTCTATCTAACGAACAATGAACAAAACGAAGGGTACTATACGTATATATACATTGGATATACG